CCCATTTGCCTTTGTGAATGAGGATTGATCTTATCCACTGTCCTCATTCTTAATCAGCTTCTTTAAGTGTATAAATTTTAGTATGATTATCCTATATTAGAGATATAATATATAATATCTACTTATAAGTGAGTATATACCATGTGTGTCTTTCTGCTTCTGGGATACCTCACTCAGGATGATCTTTGCTAGGTCCCACAATTTTCATGCAAATTTCATGATTTCCTTCTTTTTAACTTCTGAATAGTATTAGATGATGTATATTCACCACAATTTCTGTATCTATTCCTCAACTGAGGGACATCTGGGTTGTTTCTTGTTGCCCGCGTGGTCATCTCGCCAGCAAGAACGCACACGGACACCAGGATTCTTCTGTAGCAAGCGTTTATTCAGCAGTAATGACAGGAAGACTTAGAGCCCCAAAATGGCACTCCTTTTATACCCTAAATGGTGACGTGTTGGTTCCTGATTGGATGCAGCCCATCAGGCCATCTTACATCACTAAGTGAGCCAATCTTTGGCTCGAATTCAGCTTTAGCGCATGCGCATAGGCAGTTTAAGATCTCACACACCAGATGCCGGCGCCATCTTGTAATGGCGTTTGTTTCAGGCTCTTTACATCTCCCTCTTTTTATTTTATTAAGACACAACTGCCAAAGGTAGAGGTCCAATCCCCGGTGCAGATGGCTAATGTACTGGTACAGTCTCCAAACCCTACATTCATCGACTGTCCTGACCCAGCCTGTGTCCTTTTTCCCGAGGGAGGGTAAAACTTAGACACAACCCTCATACAATTAGACATGCCTTTCAGAGAGCCTATCAAGGCGATTTAGGATTCTCTGTGCAATACTTAGCTTGACAGACCGAGTGTAAGGTAGGCAACTCAAGCAGGCGTGACTCCCTTCCCGTGCAATGGAGTTCAACGTCTCCTGGGAGTGCAAGGGCTGTTCACAGCCTCACTTGCGAGTTAAAGAAAGCCAAACTTCAGGGGAGGAGCCTTGCTCTATTGCAACAAGCGCTTGAGTAATAATGGCCTTATCATGGGCGTGTTGGCTTCTGAGCCTACAAAGCAACCAAAGAACCAAGACCAATCCACCACAGAGCATAGTGCCAAATAAACCAACCCCCACCCATTCTTTGAAAAAAGAAAAGGCTGAAAAAATCCACGAGGAGAGTCCCTTCATCAGTGACAGGTCCACTCGTGTTGAATTAATCGTCACAATTGCTGCTCTTAATACCTCCAGCGTCTCATCAAATCCTTCTGACCAATTTCCTACAAGGTATAAAGACAATTCTCTGGACAGATTAGCAGTAAAGTTTTCATATTGTATCTCAGAGGATAAAGGCCACTGAGGAACCCATATGACTTCCCCTGCAAGCCATGGTATGGGTATGGAGCCCTCAGTGGCAGCTAGGAAAAACCCAAACCTTGTCTCCCCTTATTGCCTTCTTGGGGAACAGGGCTCAACCTTCTCTGCTCCCTCTTCCCTAACCCTTTTCCTTCTTTATATCCCATCTTTTTCATCATGTCTCTGGATTGGTGAGAATACTCATTAGTTAAAGTAAGGCCTAGGTCTTGTAAAACATCTCTTCCCCAGAGATTAACAGGAAGAGGAAGTACATAAGGCACAAAACTTCCTGTTCGACCCTCTGGATCCCGCCAAATCAAGGAGCGGGAACTAACTGTGGGGCTGGCTTCCTATCCCAGCCCTTGTAAAGAATGAGATGACTGCGTAACAGGCCACGCCTTAGGCCACCAGTTGGAGGAAACAATACTTTTATCTGCTCCTGTATCTAAGATTCCAGTAAAATTTTTTCCGTCTATTGTTAATTGTAAGGTGGGCCTAGTTTTGAGATCAACTACTAAGTGGGCAAAATCAGTTCCAGAAGAGCCAAGCCCATTGGAGCCCCTAGACACCTCAGCAGATGGAAAATGATCATGTAAACTTGGAAGTAGAATCAACTGAGCAATCCTATCCACAGGCGAGTCTTGGTCTAATATACCAGGGTGGATCATTAGTCCCTTCAATGTAAGTGAAGAGCGGCCCAAAATAAGGCCAACAGTTCCTTTAGGCAAAGGGCCAGAAAATTGTACCAGAACTGGTTGAACTCCCATATGGGAGACTAATTAGAATTGGGAGGTGGCACGGAGGTCCACTCCTGCGGAGCCTCTTGTGACTCGGCTGCCGCATAAGTCCCCCTGGGGTTGATCTGTGTCCCATATCTTTTTGGGCCCTGAGACCTGGGGCCCAGAGGCCCGTTTTTTGGAATAGTTTCATTTTTCTCCTCAGCTGGGGCATCATGGTAAATACTTTTTCCTTGAATATCCTTAACCGACCTGCACTCATTGGACCAATGGCGTCCATTTTTACACTTTGGACAGAGACCAGGGATCTTTTTCTGCTGTTTAGTCTGACATTCTCGTTTGAGATGTCCAGGTTTTCCACAGTTGAAACAAACCCTAGAATTCTTTGATTGACCTTGGCTTCTGCTTTGTAAAATAGCTGCCGCTAAACCAGCATTTGTAAGAGGTCCTCCCAGTCCTCGGCAGATTTTTATCCAGTCTGTTAATCCCTTATTTTTCCTTGGGAGGATAGCTGCTTTACATTCGGGGGAAGCATTTTCATAGATTAATTGTTCTATCATTGGCTTAACTCATTCCGGATCACCATAGATCCTGCCTGCTGATTCCGTCATTCAGGCCACGAAATCAGCAAAAGGCTCCTGAGGACCTTGAATTATTTTTGTTAAATGACCTGTGGGTTCCCCCTTTTTTGAAAGTGCTTTCCAAGCTCTAATAGCAGTGGTTGAAACCTGCCCATAAGCTCCCCATTCATAGTTGGTCTGATTGTTGGCATATTGACCTTGTCCTGTTAAGAGATCAAAGGTCCATTCTCTCTGGGGACCCACTTCCAAGGCATTAGTCCGAGCTTGAGCTCGACAGGCGTCATACCATAGTGCCTGCCATTCCATATACTGACCCATGTTAGGTAAGGCAGCTTTAATAGTGGTCTCCCAATCATTAGGAGTCATAGCCACGGTGGCAAGTCTCTCTAGCTGCATAATGGTAAAATTAGCATCTATACCATATTTATTGACAGATTCTGCGAGCTCTTTGATCTGAGGGTAATCTACGGCTACATGAGTGCGTCCTCCTTCAACATTTTCCCATACAGGGTACTCGAGAGAAATTTGCCTTCGAGCCTGGGAGGACATAAATGTCTTAGAGCCTCCACCCAGGGAATAAGGCGGGGGAGCAGAGGGAGTGGCAGAAGCAGCGGGCCGAGAAGAGACAGCACCCCGACTTCCTGCTTTTATTTGCTTTCGATTTTTCCAGGGCGGCCGCTCTTCTGGGTGGTACCTCTCTCTCTCATAGTGAGCTGCTTCCTCTTCTAGATCCTCCTCCTCAGAAGGGGAAAGTCCCTCTGAATCGGAACTGGAAAGTCCCAAAGCCTCTAGTTCCTTTAGTGAATACAAAGGCTTCTTTTTACTAGTTTTAGCTGAAAATTCCTCTTTATCTTTCTCTCCCAGGGCATCCTTTCCCTTATCTTTCTCCTCCTTGGAGGGGTTTAACTGCTTATCCTTACGTCTTTTCTTTCGGGCCCCAAGACGTTCACTTCGCTCTGTTTCTGACATGCTATCCTGTAGTTCCCCTAAAACGGCTTCTCCCTCTAATATAGCATGGCGGCAATTAGAATCTTGCAAGCAAGAACAATATCCGCCCACACAAAACAAAAGAAAAGCCAAGAGAACCACTCCTATAGCCACGAGGGGCTCAAGGAACATGTCTCACAGAGCTTACCTGAGACTGCAGTTCTGAATCCTCCCCGTGGTGGGGGGTCTCCTCAGCACCGACGATGGTCAGTAGCCCGGTGTCCCGGGTTTCGGCACCAGTTGTTGCCCACGTGGTCGTCTCACCAGCAAGAATGCACACGGACACCAGGATTCTTCTGCAGCAAGCGTTTATTCAGCAGTAATGAGAGGAAGACTTAGAGCCCCAAAATGGCACTCCCTTTATACCCTAAATGGTGACATGTTGGTTCCTGATTGGATGCAGCCCATCAGGCCATCTTACATCACTAAGTGAGCCAATCTTTGGCTCGAATTCAGCCTTAGCACATGCGTATAGGCAGTTGTTTAAGATCTCACACACCAGATCCCGGCGCCATCTTGTAATGGCGTTTGCTTCAGGCTCTTTACAGTTTCTGGGTTCTGGCTATTACGAATAAAGCGGCTACAAACATAGTTGAGCAAATGTCCTTGTTGTATCGTTGAGCATCTTTTGGATATATGCCTAGGAGTGGTATATAAGATTCTGCTGGATCTTGCAGAAGCACTATTCCTAATTTTCTGAGAAAGCACCAGATTGATTTCCAAAGTGGTTGTAAAATTTACATTCCCACCAGCAATGGAAGAGGGTTCCCCTTTCTCCACATCCTCTCCAGCATATGTTGTCACTTTAGTTTTTGATCTTAGCCATTCTGATTGGCGTAATGTGAAATCTCAGGGTCATTTTGGTTTGCATTTTCCTGAAAGCTAAGGAAACGGAGATGTATGTAATTTGTCATTTAATATGATACGTGTGTTGTGCATCAGGTTTGTATTTATATGTGTGTGTGTGTGTGTGTGTGTATACACAGGCACAGACACACATGCTTGAGATTAATCATGTGTCCTCCTAGACTGGTCTCCTCATTATTTAATCAAAACCTTTTCACTTACTTTAATGCAATGCTCACCTAGCCAGTAAGCATTGGAGGCTACCAATTTCTTCCTCCCAAGTAATTAAACTGAGAAATAAAAAAGTGACTAAATATTAATTACCATCAGTCTACACATCGGGAGTTGCATGCCTAGTAATTCCTAAGCAAGACACAGGAGAACAGA